TGAAGCTCCAAATAGAATATATATACATAATATATATAATTTAATTTAAAATTAATTTAAAAAAATTTAATTAAAATACTAAAACGTTATTTTATACTGAATTGACTGACTCATCTGTCAGCGTTAGTTAGTGTGAGTTAGTCCTTTTCTGTTCAGCCTAAACAGAAATGGACTAACTCACTACGCAGTTACCAAAAGTTTTATGAATAAGATTAGCGACATTTGAAAAATACCTCAAGAATTTAAAATGCCTTGTATGCACCCTAATAATGCATTATATCTATGTATATTTTATTCGTCTGCGTCTGGGAGTGCATTAGTACCGAATTCACACATCACACTGGACAGCTTAACTGCTGAAATATAGCTTCATACTTTAAATGCTTACCAATGCTTTTACGATACGTACGTAACTGGGAGACCTGAGAATTTATGACTGGTTTGCAATACTCGATCTCTTGTACGAGAGTCGACTTGTGAAAGGATATTTATTTAGGATGTTTCTAACCTCATATATTATGTAACGATTTGTTTAAGTATGGAAAATGAAACTTTTGAAAACATGAAAGTACAATATTAAAATTGTACATACTTGCATTTATAGTATTACTAAGGTTAGTAAGCAATCTAGTAAAATTATCGGATATATGAGTTCTATCGTCCATGCGGGTTGTCTCTCTCCCTAAAATATGGCGAGGGGACCGGTGGCTGGCCATGCGTCACTCGTACGGGTGATACTTGTGGTGACTGGTCGGACTTGAATTCGTGTATGCGGTGATGTTAGTTATTACTACTGTGATTTGCGTGTTGTTCCTACGAGGATGTAAGTGCGTGCTCCTATTTGACGCCTCCTGCTGATAGAGGACAAATCTTTGTTTTTAATTTATTTTATTATTATTAACTAACTATTTATTACTTAAGAAGTCATGTGGAATATGATGTAGTGGTTGCAGCTCCTTACAAACATTGTGTAATACAAAAAAAACTTGGCGATTGAAATGAGTGGGGGACAGTTTATTGCCAGTTCTTTACTTTCGTTCTACGCCCTAGATTTGAGAACTGGCAGTAAACGTAAAATTAGAAGCATTTAATATGTATTTCTTTTTTGACGTTCATAAGTGTACATTGTGTTACCTATATGAATAAACGATTTTGACTTTGCTTCAAAAAACGCAATGTATAAATTAATTTAAACAATAACAAGCAATAAGTGAAATTAAATTAATTTCCCTGTATAAGATTAATATTTACATCTATTACTAACCAAAGATATAGACAAATTCTATAAAATTTTCCTCAGGCGAAATGAAAGCAAGAAAGTAAGATCCGATTCCCATTAAGATATTTTAATTTAGCAAGCCGAGAGCGAGGAAGTTGTACAAAAGTATATTTAAGTTTTATCTTATTACTTATCCGGATAGAAGCTTCATTTGGAGTTTAACTTTTACTTTGAAAATCTGAGTCTCGAAATGAGTTCTAAATTCAAATATTTACTTCGACATTTCATAAAATTTATGCGGCGAATTTATAGACGAAATTATAGATTGAATGGGAAAGAGTACAGTGATTTTATTATTCGAAATGCATTTGAGCATCCTGTATCGCTAAAATACAGTTGTATATGGAACTCGACAACTCCAGCCTTGCGATTCTGTAACTCACTTTTCAGTCATTTTACGATTTGGCATTCTGATAATAAACTACAAGCACCTTATCAGAATGCCAAATCATAAAATGACTGCTTCACGACTGATTTAAGCGCGACCGCCGCTGCGAAAACCGCTGTGTGAGTTCGAAAAGTGAGTTACAGAATCTAAAGCAGTACCCTCTAAAACCACCTTGGGCACTTCTAACTTGACCGCATCAACAAGGTGAAAAGCCTTATACTGGGGCTTTAATAGAATATCTGACGTCATCAGCTGTTGTTTTTTTGTGTAAGTAAATTTCAATTTAATTATATATTATTAACCTAAAACAATAATTTTCACAAGTTACATATAACTCAAGTATGTACTTAAAAATTTCTAGCTAGTGTTAATTTAAACTGTGGCCATATTTTATACGTTTTCGGTATTTTAAAAAGCAATGCTAACGACATCTACTAGTATTATATTTTCAAATACACGTCAATAAAAAAGAAAATTCTTATAAAATCAAGGGTAAATATTCCGTATCGCGGCACCAGCGATTTTGAGGCTGATTTTTTTTTACAGTCGCGTTATGATCTGTAAACATCATAACTAGTATTGTTATAATGGCGCATGCAAAAAAAATTGAATTTATTTGAAAAAAAATTAATATACTAACCTAACCTAACCGAACAATATTCATAATAGGTTTTTTGGACAGCTCCGGCGCTGCGGGAAATGCAGCCCCTCCGCTCCGCGCCTCCGATTTTTTATATACACTCTAGGGGTAAGGCAGACAAGACCACGTCGATAGTGGGGTGCTTCGGTTTTGGGTACTTTTTGGTTTTTTTTTTTTGGCAAAAAAGGTGAGTTTGTATATCAACACTAGTTATGGTGCTGAGAACTCATAACGAAGTCATAAAAAAAAATCAGCCTCAAAATCGCTGGTGCCGCGATACGGAATATTTACCGCATTTTCTTCCCTAACGCCTAGTGTAACTAGTTTTAATCATCATAAAATGTTATTTCTACATATAAAATGTACCGTATAATTTTACTGCACTCATTCGAGTTTATCGTCATATCAAATATTCAAAAGTACTGTTAATTACGCCGAACTATCAATTAACTTAAATAAATGGTAATTGTATGCGACTTCTAAATGGGAATTGAATTAGTGTATTAAGGTAATTCGATGAAAATGTAATAAGCGCATGCTTTTTGATCCGTGGACAAAATGTGAGCAGTGGCTGGCGCCCCACTGGACATTGCATTGCTATAGTTGTGCTGGATGCGCATATCATTAAAAGCTAAAACAATTAATAATAATACAGTTTATTTGCCTCTTCACAATATTGTATATCTTTGTGAGAGGCTGGTGCCTATAATATGTCTATAGAAATCCTGTAATGACAGGTCACCAGCCTTCCATTGCGGAAAGAAAATATACAAAGAGATGGCTACTCTAAACTCAAGTAACAAACAATTACAAATATCCCTATCCCCGATCTAATTCGAATTTCAATTTACAATCTCGTCTAGGACACTGTCAAATATATAAATCTTTATAGTAGAAACAATTTAAATTTGACAGCGTTTGAAACTTGATTTAATTTTGACATAGGGCGACAATCAACAGTGCAAAAGAAATATGTATAAGCCAGTTGATTAGTTGGATATTGATTCGTTTTCGTAAGATGATATAAATTTTATGTGACATTACTTTTGTGTAATTAAATTCTTATACAATAAAAGATTTGCCAACAACTTTTATTTTTAAAATCAAAGATTTCTCTATAAATGAAAAGTTATAATGCGTAAATTATAAAGCTATAGATAACCTCACCTGGGGCTTGAGACAAAATCACTTCTCGAAAGGCATGACCCACTGACGCCAAACGAATTTCTTTGAAAATGGTCACGTGATAAAGCGTGAGCCAATGTCACTGTCTCCATATGATAGGTTAGCGCGTATCTAGTATATTTGTATCTCAAAAGACATCTCCAGGGTGCCCTGGCCACAGGCTTAAACTAATTAGGCCCCCCCTGTTCTGTGTCAATGTTGTCTGCACGCGGCATGGTTTAATGTGTGTCTCCATTAGTTCACCCTCAGTTTAAACACCCTGTGTACACAGACAATTCGCTAAAATTGATTTGTGTGTTTGCACTTTCGGGGGAGTTGATCAGCATGGATAAAGGAATTTGGAAACATAAACATTAATATAGTGACTTTTAAGTTATAATTCAAAGATCTCAAACGGAAAAACTAGCAAACACAACAACTGTACGGAAATAGAGACTACACATAGCAACAATCGATACAAGAATTAAAATCGCAAGAAAAGTTAACAGAACTAGAACAAGCGTTATATAAAATTAATCGGGATATATGGAATAAGTGACGTAGATAGATCTTTGTGGAGAAAAGCAAGACGATCAAGAAACCGGTGTCTAATAGGAAATAATAAGATAGTATATACATTTACTTTAACTAAATTTCGTTAATAACTAAGTAGAAATAAGATAAAATGTAACTTACAAGATTGTCAATAAAGGCTATATCTATTTGTTTATTTAAGTTGTAATGCAAGAAGTAAAGCAATGCGGTTTGTTTTTATTTCCGCATTACATAGTTTTTTTAGCATTATACAACAGTATCGTACGTTATAATGTAATTAATGAATCAACAATATTTCTCATACAATTGATATTTAATACCTCTGTCTATTCACTTTACTCAGAAGAACTGTTATTAAGCCGGGAATCGTTGGTCTAGTGGCTTCAGCTTACGACTCTCATCCCTGAGGTCGTAGGGTCGATCCCCGGCTGTGCACCAATAAACTTTCTTTGTATGTGGGCATTTAACATTTGCTCGAACGATGAAGGAAAACTTTGTAAGGAAACCGGCTTGTCTTAGACCTAAAAAGTCGACGGCGTATGTCAGACACAGGAGGCTGATCACCTACTTGCCTATTAGGTTGACAAATGATCATGAAACGGACACAGATATCTGATGCCGAGACCTAAAAAGGTTGTAGCGCCACTGATTTATTTTATTTTTGAATTAGGCTAGAAATCGAACCTAATCGCTACGTTTTAATAATAATAATAATGTATTGCAAGAATGCATTATTAATATTATTAATCAATTCTTATATTATTTGTATCATACATATCGTATCATACGTTATCAAATTAACATTAATAATAGTGTTTCATGCAAATAATAATTTATTGAATAATTAATTTTTCCAAAAGTAGAACATTAAGTCGATTTTTAATCATTATTCGTTATAAAGTTTGCCAAGCGCTTGAGGTACGATCAATTTAAATACATAATAAAATAAAAATTATTGACTTATATTTTGATGTTTATTCAATAAAAACAAGGATAGCATAATTGAGTCCTATTCCTATCTCGCTCTGGAGATGCAGAGTCACGTGAGATTCACCGACGCCTCCAGCTGTCACATTGACTTCAGCCTCTGTATGCCACAGATCATAGGCCACTACACCCTGTAAATAAAATATAAACTCTATGTATAACTTCCCGTGTACAAGGTCTATATTTCAAATAGCTACGTCAAAAAAGTAAAATTTCCATAGAGGAAAAACTATTAGAATGTTTTGAATGAAGCAACGTATAAGTACGTATAAGTTTAAGGAAAAACAGACAACATTATGTATAAGAATAATACCAATACATTTCTAAAGTCAGATTTAAATTGCAGGATTATCGCTATGAATACTGAAGCTTAATTTATTTTAAAGAAACTTTCGTGACCTCATTGGTTTAATTTATAATAATAATATATTTAATAATGTGCCGTACTCGCTTTTGACGCCACGCGCGCATCCTAAAAATGTCACGCGCAGACCTATTTTCAGCGTTAAATTAAAATTATAAATAATGGAGATAGAATTCCGGGAGTTAGGACTTTTTTATTGGAAATTTCCTCTTCTTTAACGAGCTTCAAAATTGCTTAAATGTTAATATTTTTTGAGTTATTAACAAAAAACTAAATATCATTTTTTTCATCTTATTTTGTTAATAACAACTTTTAACCTGCACAAAAATCCTTCAAAACATTTTTCTAGAGGTGATTCCGAATCAAATGAGCTATCGCTCATATTTTTAGGACCTTTATCTCTATTTTTCACGTTTTTGAACTTGTTGACTAGACTAAATTATAAAAAATAAATCAGTGGCGCTACAACCTCCTTAGGTGTGGGCCTCAGATTTTTGAATCTGTTTCATGATCATTTTTTAATCTAATAGGCAAGTAGGTGATCAGCCTCCAGTGCCTGACACACGCCGTCGACTTTTTGGGTCTAAGACAGGGATGTTATGGAGCTCCGTAACCGTAACCGAAACAATCGGATATCCGAAATAAATCTATATCCGTAACCGTAACCGTATCCGTTTCACAAGTTTCGGATATATTTCGGATAAGGGTGGAGTCTTAAATCTAGATAAAACTACATGTTTCGACAGGTTTTTGTTAGTGGTTTCATTACTCACAAAAATAATTAAAAAGAAAACATTTAATATGTTGTACATAGGTTATAAGTTAATATGTGCAATGTTTTTGTAAAGCTATGAAATTTATTGCACTTTTATAATTACTAATAATAATTACTTACCTATATGACCGATTATAATACCAACTGATAACCTAGACTAGATAAAACTTATATATAAAACTAAATTATTACATACTATGTATTTGTGTTTATATTTTACTTCAATCTAATAACCGTAACCGAAACTATCCGAAACTAACGGATAATCCGAAATAATTATATATCCGTAACCGTATCCGAAACCGATATAATTTTATTCCTATATCCATATCCGTATCCAGATCCGAAATATCATATCCATAACACCTCTAGTCTAAGATATGTCGGTTTCCTCAAGATGTTTTCCTTCACCGTTCGAGCGAAAGTTAAATGCGCAATAGAAAGAAAGTCCATTGGTGCACAGCCGGGGATCGAACCTACGACCTCAGGTATGAGAGTCGCACGCTGAAGCCACTAGGCCAACACTGCTCCATTGGTTTAATTATACCATAGCCAAAAAAGAAACTATGGAAATGTCCATATCTACTAATAAATGTAAAAACGTTTTATATTACCTCAATAATACTATCTTTGGGATCAATATAAATATAATCTTTTTCTACTTTTGTCAGCAGTATTCCCTCAGCTTCAACTTTCTGTAATGATATTAAGTAGTTATTATAGATGATTCCAAATTTAAAATCCTTGGCGCATACACTCACAAATAACGCAACAAATATTATTGCCCTCATCGCACACAAAACATATGTAACTCCTTCGATTTAAAAATTCAAACTAAGAAGTTCGAGATTTAGTATGATTTTCCTTAATAATATATACTATAACCTTGTTATAATATCCGGTATTTATTTATGCATACTCGTAGGTACTTATTGTGGTGTTAAGGATTTGCGTTTAATTACATTAAAAAAAAAACATTTTTTTTTAAATTCAATAACAGTTACATTTTTAGCAGATATTGGAGCCTCGAACTAAGCCTAGGGAGACCTGTACATCAGTGTACTCCGCAATGGTTTAATGAAATAGTAACTTAACAATAATTGAAACCAAAATACTATATTATAAAGAAAAATAGAGAGTTAGACTTATTACTAAACTAAATATACAGGTTTACATGGTTAAGGCATTTGTACACACCAGAATGATAATCTTAGGGAAGGGATGGATTGGATGGGTGGTGGAGGGTGGTAGTGTAAAATAAATACGAGTACATATATTGTCTTAGAAACAATATCATAAAACACTTTCATAATATGACATCATTGTGCTATGTTTACTTACAATGGATATTATTATAATCTGTGATTGATGTATTATGTAAAATGTGTTCAATCTTGTTGTCAACCAACTCCTATTATAGATTGCAAATATAAATGTGGATGGTAAGAGAAATAAATTATCAACAAATTCTTGCTGAACAGGTGTCTAATCCATTCAAAAACAATTTTTAAGAAAACTATTTATTCTGACTAAAAATGAGTATAAGATAGTTCAGTCCCTCCCCCCTCGCACTCCGCAGGTGTAAAGTTATGTGGGTTTCGCCCACACCTCCAGCTGTCACTGTCACTTCAGCGTCAGTTCGAGAAAGGTCGCGGGCAATCACACCCTGGAAAGAACACATAATCTTAATAAATTATTGCATATAGTATTGTCTTTTATTGACATAACCTTTACACATTTAAAGAAAAAACTTTTTAATCGGATTAAAGTTATGTATTATTATAAAAATACCAATCCGCGAAAATAGAGGACACCGTGAGCCATTTTTGCCAAAACCCTCCATCTTTTAATCGATACCAACTCCGGGGAAATAAATACAGATAATGCAACTTTCTCTACAGCCGTGATACTTTTTGACATCCAACACCTTTTGTCTTCAGTCACCGTGACCACGCACGCTGTAAAGCACGTGAAACGTCCGATAAATTTAAAATTATGTTAAATAATTGTAAATTTATAATACATAACTTTAATCCGGTTAAAAAGTTTTTTCTTTAAATTATTGCATTATATATTTAAGTTTATTACAGTAAAGGCAGCAAGAGTTTAACAAAATAACTGAGCCCGTGCTAGCTGATTCTAACCAGCTCAAGGGTGAATAGGAAATATATAAAAAGGAACATATAATTAATTTACAATAGAATCTTACCTAAGCTGTATATTAAAATAATAATAGAAAGTTAAAAATAATAATAAAAACTGCGGTCTCATAATTCTGTATCTGTTTCGTAATCATTTGTTTTTTGTAAGGGTCAATTTGCTCTGCGCTAGTATCACTAGTATCTCTGGCAAACACATCATTCACTTTTCGGTCTGACGCATGCCGGTTTCCTTACGAGGTTTTTCAATTGGTGTTCAGCACAGTGGGGTTCTTCAACCTCAGGAGAGTCGTACGCCACAAGCCAAAGCGAAAAAAGTAACTCAAAATAGCTTACCTTAATAATCCTCTGTTTCGAATCAGTATACACATAATCTTTATCCCGCCTTATAAGTGGTATTCCACTAAACACAACTTTCTGTGTTGATATCAACAAGTTATTAATTCTAGTACCTAATATCAAGTCCTTGGCTTGTAATTGTAAACACACTAATAACACAATGAATATTATTGCTTTCATTGTATACAATAATCAGTCCATGTTATGCTGCATTGATTGCAAAACACGAACTGACTCATGTGTCAAGATTAAGGAAAACGTACGCATATGATTTAACCTTGTTTTGTTTAGCAATGACACGGCCAAGATATACGATGTTTCATATGAATTTTTTGTTAAAATTTAAGTTTAAGTTACGCCTATACCTTTTTGGCATAAAAAAGTATCATGGAGGATATAAAACGCCAGACGCAACAACGCATTTCGTTTAGATGGTCGCGAGAATCACGTGTTCAATCAAGACGCATTGTTATTCGGCTTTCCGTTTGACCAATCGCAAGCAAACGAAATGCGCTATCGTCCTTTGTCTTTCAAAATCTAACATTTTTCGAATAGGTGTTTCTAGCGTTAAATTATAGATTACACTACTAACTAAAATTACACTTGACATACGTAATTTGCGGCTAGTTTTTTTTTTAGTTTTTTTTTGCGATCAGGTAGAGGAGAAAATCTTCGATGAGATTTTTTGAATCAATCAGAACTGTCAAGCGGGATCATCTTACACTCGTGTTCGTCTTTTATACGAATATATGATCAGTGAACTATGTTCAATATTGCTTAACATGATCTTAATTATCAACCTAGAGTCAGTGGGTAGTGATACAGACCGCGGAAGCATTTATACAATGCGCGCGTGGTGTTTTACTGTCAGCTTTGTGGAGGAGATGAGCTCCTAATATATTAATTGAACTCAACTTTTGTCAAGGGCAAATTTGTTAAACTTGTGTAATCAATATTTATTAGGGTAATGTTCATAATAAATTTGATATCATGTATTTAAAAAACAATGTATAATTTTAGATTTTTTTTAACATAACTTAAATATAGTGAACATAAAAATATACTATGTCTGTTTGGTAGTTTAAGAGTTTATTTATCACCAAAAAACAAAAGAAAATGTAATCTTTTCTCTTTATGATATTAGTGTAGATATTGATACTGTTCATTCCTTAAATAATATTCTTTTAACCTCAGCTCTGGCTGTATGTATCTATAGTAGTAGCAGCCGGCAGTGCTATCTGCCAGGCAGAAGTTCACCCTTGCCATTCTTATAGGCAGGCCGATCGCACCAGAAGATTTAGATCGCCTATAGAGTAACTACTTGACACACTTACCAGTTTCGGACCAAATTATGAAGTATTGGTTACACAATTCTTTTAATTATTATTATTATTATGTATATAAACACACTAGCAGCTTAATAAGCTGATTTTGAGATTTGGAGAAACTATCCAATCTATTTTTAAAGGAGTTTTTATCTTTAATTGCAATATATTTTGTCTTTGCGAAATAATAAAACCTAGATCTTTCATTGTTTAACGTCTATGTACCGACAACTATGATTGTCACTTGTTTCTAGACCATACATAAAAATCGCGACGGGAAACGGTTGGTTGAATGTATGTATATAATATAAAAATAGGAATGGCATTGCGAGTGCATTCATTCATTTTTTATCATTTATGAAGTTCTCTTATGAAATCACTAGTCTGTATATTTTAATTAAAATTAATTTAAAATTAAAATGTATGATACTCAACAAGGATACTTGCAACATCAAAGCTCTTTTGCATTCACTTTGCGTAATCATTTATTTATACTAATATTTTTTATCTGTTAGATGAAATAACTAAATTTAAATATGATATTTCACCGATAAAGGAGCATGGGGCAGACATATTTTTTGATCTGCTCACAGTTTATTAGTATAAATTCAGCATTGTTTGTCCGAGAATAGAACCCAGGAGCCTCAGGTAGGAGGCCGTAGGTACACCAAATTGCGAGATATAATATATTAACGGATTTGCTAAAAGCTTGTAACTATCTCAATGTTGTAGTTATCTCAACTTGTAGTTCAGAAACAAAAGGCTTTTTTGTTATTATTTGAGTACATATTGGAAGTAGTGGGTGCGTAGAGCAATAATAGCTTAAAATTTATACAACCTTCAATTTTCATTTTAAATAAAATAATATCGGTTAATAAATGATACAGTTATAAAAAAACTTTACACCGCGTAAAGTTTTTAAAGATTAAGCATCATTAAAATATAAATAAACCAATAGAACTTAACAAGAATGCAAAACGACTGCAGTTTTGTTCTGCAAAACAATGTTTAAGTTCTGCATTGTCTTCGTACTTAACTCCACGGTCATTACTTGAAGCTGAGTGCAACCTTTTACAACTATTAAAACGGTTACGAAAGCCTTCATTTGTTTTTTATACATCACTTCTTATACGTGCTTACAGAAATACTGTCGTAGAAAACTTTCAATGTACTACAAATTACGCATGTAGTAATGATATCGTTGTGGCTGCGGTGTTTCGTAATGAAATTCGAAAATCCATTACTCTAAAATGTTATTCCAGACGTCTCGTCATCCTCTTTGATCTTTCCCTACTTTTTTGTTCAGCTTTAATGTCACAAAAGAAAAACGTATTTTATTTTGATTTAATCAAACACAAACCGTATTTATTTACACTTAAACAAGACAAGAATATGTCAATATAAAGGTAGGAGTAGGTTCGAAGGAAATTACTTTCATTTAATTCCATCGAGCCGGCTCGGTGCGAGCCTTCGATCTGTGAGTTTTGCGAGTAAAACTATCGAGTAATACCGTATGTGAGTACTGACCTTTAACGTGATCGTCACGGTTCTATCTAAAGGCTGAATACAACGGACAGTCTCATCTAGGCAATCCATGATAACAAACTAGAAGTATTCTAAGAGCGATGAAAGAAAATAAAATACGTACTATATATTTAAGATTTAAATTATTATTTTAATCATTTTGGTTTATATGTAAATAAAACAAAAATACTTTTACGACGTACATAAATATAGAACTGTCTTTTTAATATGGAATCAAATTCAAGAATTAAAAATTATATATTATTTTACAAGCTTTAAATACGAGATAATAAGTGTGAAAAATAGGGAGTTTAAACACATCCCCATACACTTTTAGTCCTCAAGTAATCATCCGTATAAATGTATATGTCGTGGCCATATCCTAAATTTGCTCATTTCATGAAATGCTCGAGAATTTCATGAAATGGTCGTATTTCATGATGTGGGCAACTTAATTTGACCAGACCATTAAATCGTCAACATTTCACGATTTTTTCATCCACATTTGGCCGGATCGTATAAATAGGGTGTCCATAAAATATTTAATAAAAATCCAGAATATGTTAAGAACTTGTTTATTGTTATTTAAGTCCGACTGATACAAACAAAATGAATTAAATTTTTGTAACAAAATTAAACATCAAACACGTCATGATACACAATTATTTTTAGAAAACAAACAAATATTTAGAAATAAGTAGGTACTTTGGTACATAGTTACAAAAAGTAATATAATAATTCACATGGAATGCACAATAAATGAATAAAAATTTGAAAAGTCAGTGTTACAACCTTTCAGTCATTTGTTGGCGCATGACATGCGCATCTCTTTGTACGGCATTGGTTTTTTGCTGGCTTACAAAAGCATTTTTTAAAGCCTTGACCTCCAAACAAAGATTGGAAATTTACAGCTTCCGTCAATGATATTGACAATTCTGATATAACTTCGCAATAATCTTTAGACGACACCTGTAGGTCTTGCCGAGAAAACCAATTTTTAATTGTTCCAGAACCCGTTCCGATTTTGTATACTCCGTTCCTAAAATCAACTATCTTTCCAGCAATATTTTTGGTGTCAAGAGGTCCACGGTAAATTTTCGGTACATTCAAAAACACAGAATTTACAATTTCTAACAAAGGAAGTTTTTTGGCGGTGTTATCGACCATTTTCTCTGCAGCACGTTTAACACCGCTATGAGCTTGATCTCTTTCATTAACTATCAACTGTTCCTTTTGGCAAAGAAAACATTGAACTTGAGATCCAAAACCTTCTTCTCCACCAGCAACACCACAAATAACATGCACAGGTTTGGAACACAAACTACAGAAATGAGCTCCTGTTGTGTCCTTGCCACAGACGAGACACACTGGACCATCAGCTGACTCTAATTCCATATTATCTGTCTCCATTACTTCAATGTTAGTAAAAGCCTCATCAGCAACTGATCCATTTACTATTGCGTCATCTGACGGCATGACATTAATGTTTTCTGCTGTAAAATCATTCTGATTTATTTGGTCCAATTCTTCCTCCGTCCTGATTGATGTCATAATACTTTCAGGAATATTACAACCTTTCAATATAGTTTTCGGCTCAGAGCCAAAAAATGCACGGTAAGGGGATCTGCCAATTATGCGGTGGTAAGAAGAGTTTTTATAGAATTGAACAAAAAAACAACCAATGGACCATTTAGTAGACTTATTATCTTGCATCCAACACCGCAACATATTTTCTACGTCTTGGTTGGATCTTTCCACGCTGCCCTGTGTTTGAGGACGTCGAGGACTACCGTGAATAATTTTGCATTCAGGCCACATCGACACCAATTCTTCTATGACATGCGCGGTGAACTCTCTTCCATTATCACTCTGTAATATAAACGGAGCGCCAAATTCCAAGAATATTTTTAAAAGTTCCAAGGCTACTTCTGCAGCTCTTTTCGACTTTAGAGGTCTGAGGTGTAAAAATTTGTGGCATGATCTTGGTAATTCATAAGCCATTTAAATTCTCCATCCGCGGCAGACTGTAAATCTATTAAATCCACCTGCCCTCGTGTGTTAAAATCTTTAGAAATTATCGGCTGAGTTACTATACCTTTCCTTGGCACTGCACGTTTCTTCTGACAAACAGATCACAGGTCAACGAATAGCTCGATGGGTTTCTTCGGAATATAAAGCCTATTTTTAATGTGTTGAATCATTTTTAAGTTTTATGTACTTCCTTTAATATTTCAAAATACTTCTCCATCGGAATTATGCGAATCGTATCATCGTCGACGCATTTTTTCTTGAATATAAGATATTCCTCATTCGCAGTTTCCAAAATATCAT